CCTCTGCAGCCACTTCCCAAGATGCTGGAGCAGGGAGTGAAGGGATTAAATTGAAATCTAACTTGTTCTGGCGTAAACGTGGAACTGGCTTCTCGTAAGTGGATGATATGGGCAAGAGAGGGTTAAGAGCCTTTCCAAATCGAAGACTATCTGTCGCACAAGGGAAGGGAGATCATGGCAGAGTTTAATGAATGACTTCATTTATATATTTAAAAAAAAAAAAAACCAACAACACGGTGGCTTCCTGCCAGGCCCACAGACAAGGGTTTCTATGGGAACCTGGGGGAAAACAATAAATAGGAGTGTGGGACGAGTAGGGAAGGGAGGAGGGGAGCCAGGGCTCTGGTTGGGGTCTGCTTTGTTCCCCATGGAAAGGAAGGTGGCAAGGGGCAACGAGGAGAGAGAAGGGGAAAGGGCGGCTGAATTTGCTGCTTGCAAAAAGACACCGCCCAAGGTAAGGCAGGCGGTATGTACACGGCGATGGTGTGGTCTCATGGTCAAGTCCTGGGATCTGCTTCGTTCCTTGCTGCTCCCTGCGCTCATTGGGGATGGGTGACCTGTCTCCATCCAGATCCACATCCTGGCTCTGCTGCCTCAGAGGAGGTGGGAGTTTGGGAGGGCAGGGATGCGGGGTCACCCCTGACAGGGTGGCAGTGGGACCACTCCGCAAAGGGATGCCGCCAGGGCTAAGCTCAGTGGTCCTGCTGGCTCTGCAGCGTAAAATAGGCTCTACGTGAGGCTCCCCTGGAAGGGCTTCCAAGGTTCAGAGTGTAATTAGAAAAGCCAATTTTTTCTTTAATAAAGTGTCTCAATCCTAGTGTGGGATTTTTTTTCTCTTTCCTTTTCTGGGAGACGATCTGAACTGAACCTCAAATGAAAGCTGCATCTTAGGGAGGCTCCTGGTGAAGTGAGGCCCTCTCGCATCGTTTGTTGTCGAGGCTGTGGGCAGAGCCGGGCAGGCTGGCAGGGGGGCACTTTGGGGGTCAGCTGAAACCTGCCCCTTGTTCACTCAGACTGGGCTAAAACAAGTCTCAACTGCGGCATTTTTTGGTTGTGGGTGGTTTTTTTGTTTTTCACCCCACAAGCTCTTTGCCCCAGTCTGAACTGATGTGGCACCGTATCTCCTGCAAAACGAGGGCCGGCAGTCCTCGGGGAGTGCCTGAAGCGGGGGGAGCTGCAGGTCAGGCTGGGTCCTGCTGCTGGTGCGAGATCGCCTTCCTGACTTCTCTGTGCATGCCTTGCACAAGAGCATTTCTCTGAATAGGCTTCCAAATGCCATGCAAAACAGCCTTCGTGGTCTGTTTTGGACCTGACTGACCCTGGGGGGAGTGGGGTGAGGGGGGTGAGGGAGCACCTGCTCCAGCATCTATCCTGGCATCAGCCCTGGGTACCACGAGTCAGACCTGCCCTGCTCCAGCTGCTATGAGCAGTGACCCTGCCACCACGGTGCACCCCTTTCTGCCTCCATCCCGGCTGGTGCTGCCAGCAGTAGGGGAGAAGCTGATCCTGCGCTGAGACAGGCGTTATCGCTGGAGGAGGAATGTGGCAGCCTCCTTATCACTTCCTCTGGGATGCAAGAGGCTGTTCTGCTGACAGAGGCATTATTATCCAGCAGCTGAGAAGTCTCGAAGAAGCCAGGGCAGGTTTTTCTTCTCTGCAAGGGAGGAAGGAAGCTCGGCAGGGCAGAGCGGGACACAGCCGCTACTCTGCTGCTGTTTCCTCTGCTCCTGCTCAGGAAAGCTCCTGCTTAGGAAACTCACCCTCAGGGTGCAGATCTCACCCTCCCTGGGCCAAAGCTTGAGATGGGGGTGTGGGATTTCTTGCAGCACTGCAAGACCCTTTACAAACCTTCATGGGATGTAAAATTGCTTTGCAGGGAATGGTGCTTCCCAGCGGGCTTCCAGCCTGTGGGGAGGTGCTGATCTTCCTTGGGATTGGGAAAGGCTCTCCTGCCCCCCTCTCCCAATCCGTGTGTCCCACCTTATCCTGACACATCAGTCAGTCCTGCTGTGGAGCCCTGCCGATGGAGGGGGGGATGTTGCTTTGAGGACCACCATGCATGATGGATGGAGGACCACCATGAGGACCACCACTGCTCTGCAGGAGCCCTCTGCTCGCTGGGGGTAGCCCAGGCAACTTAAGGGGTTATTGCTAGGTTTCGCAGGTGCCACCCGACAGCATTAATTTTCCCTTTGGCTTGGCAGGCTGACAGCGCAGTGGAGCGTGGAAGACGAGGAGGAGGCAGCAAGAGAGCGACGGCGGCGGGAGCGGGAGAAGCAGCTGAGGTCCCAGGCCGAAGAGGGCTTGAATGGCCCTGACTCCTGCTCAGAGAGCGCGGGTCCAGCACAGGAAAACCAGTAAGAAATACCTGCAGATAAATCCTTCAGCGACATGCTTTCTCCTTGCAGCAAAACCCTCCTGCATCCACAGTGTGGGTGCCTCTGTTGTTCGGGGTGGTTTGGGGAGATGGGAAGTTCCTTAATAGGTTAGGTTTGGGGGGTTTAGCCCGGACTAACAAATAGTGTGTTTCCAGTTTGGGCAGAAAAAGCCAGAATACCAGCTTTGCTATTTTCTTTTTTTTTTTTTTTGGCTGGAGGCTGGATGTTTTACTGCCCTGAGAGTTTAAACTAGGACAGTCTGGGGAAGACTGAGCTCAGGCAGGGAGCCCCCTTCACCAGGGATTTCAGTGCCTGGTTAAATTTCAGCTTGTGAATCATCCCTTGACAAAACTAATGGAAGTTCCTGATACGTGCGAAGACAGACATGTGAACGAGGATGTGACGCACGACCCCAGGCAGATCATGGTGCTGGCAGCCAAGCAAGCCATCACCTGTCCCAGCTCAGACCCCCCCTTCCTCCCTCCAAAGTTACTGCCCTGGCAGTGGAGAGCATGAAGCAGATCCGGAGCTGGTCCAGTTCACAGCTCCAAGGTTTAAGGTTAACTTGATGACTTAATGAGGCAGATCCTAAAAGGAAATAGCTCAGGAGGCATTTATGGAGGTGCTGAGCTACCTGCTGTCAGAGAGGAAGCCTCTGGAGAAGGGATAGGATGACCAGTCCTGACCGCAGCATCCCACAGCAGCCTACCTGTGTCCATGGTTCAGC